TTTTTGATTTCTAACCAACATCAAAGAATGGAAGTGTGCTACCTACATGTCCTTCCTGATAAAAGCGACTTCTTGTTTCCAAGAAAAATTTTTATGAGCCATTTCTTGATACAAAAATTTCTAAAGTATATTAAACACCGACTTGACTTCTTGAAAGGGCTAGACAGAATTTAGCATTTTCAAGGATGCAGGGTCATATTTATGCATACACAATGGTAAACTTTAGAACTAGTAGATAGGTCACCTAATTCAAATCTCCCACTTTATAGATGAACAAACTAATATCCCAAGAGGAGATGCAATTTGTCCAAAGTCACCCAATAAAAAGGTCAAATGATTCCCATTACACCATGCTCCCACATCTATTATTGTATTATGTCGAGCACTATCTAGCAAGGTAATCACAATATAGGGGCAATACTTTTTGTAATTTCTCTTATGTTACTTTTGTAATCTCATTTCTTTCCCCATAATCTTTACCAATAAAACTCCTAAATCAAAAAAGACCTAGGGGCGCATAGGTGGCTCAGTTGGTTAAGACTCTGACTTCAGCTCAGGTCATGATCTCGAGGTTCGTGGGTTCGACCCGAATAGGGCTCTATGCTGACAGCTCAGAGCCTGGAGCCTGCTTTGGATTCTGTGTCTCCCTCTTTCTGCCCCTCCCTCTCTGTCTCTGTCTCTCTCTTTCAAAAATAAATAAACTTAAAAAAAAAAAAAAAAGGATCTATGTGAGGGCAACTGGGTAGCTCAGACAGTTAAGTGTCCAACTCTGGTTCAGGTCATGATCTCCTGGTCTATGAGTTTGAGCCCCATGTAGGGAATCTCTGCTGTAAAGCAGGACCTGCTTCAGATCCTCTGTCTCCCTCTCTTTCTGCCCCATCTCGGCCCACACACATGTGTTCTCACTCTCTTTCTCTCTCTCAAAGATACATAAACATTAAAATAAAAGGGATCTATGTGTTTATCCTCTGCAGGAAAAATTTTAAGCTAGTCTATCCCACAGCCCATCTTAGGGAAAGAACTCCCAAAATATAATGTGTGTGGTGTACTTCAGAAAGAAAAGGGATGCAGACTGAATCGCTTTGTGATCTTCAGAAAGCAAGAAGAATGCAATGAAAAGCCCACACTGGTTTAAGAACAAACAGTTCTATGGATGTGACTGTCAAAAACCTCAAAAAGTCCCCCAAAATAGGCAATATCATAAACTTCACAAGGTCAGAGAATAGGTTCTCAATAAATGTGAGTTGAATACTCTGAAACATGAGTGTCTGTCACTACATAAACTGGTCCTAGGCCATTGTACTGTTTGATGTAGTCTTGTAAGTGTGTTTGTCTCTTCCCTTTCCAATTAAGACATGAACTGTCAATTATGTCTAATGACACCACCCAAATACAGCTTTTGTGGAAGTTGACAGCACTATATCTTCTAAATAGGATGTTTCTAATATGCTCTGAGCACACTAGAATTATTTCTAAAATAAGAATAAATATGCTCTAAGTAAGGGCCTGAAGAATTCCACTATGTAAGAAGTATGTCAATATTACCACAGCTCTCCTAACTTCCATCTTGCCTGCTCTTCTGTTGAATTGTTGGCTCTGATGCATATTGCAGATTACACAGGTTGCCTGATGTCACCTCCAGTGAGGTGTTATGTTACTGGGACTATTTTTAACCTGAAACCAATGATACTTCTCTATAACCCATAAAATTATCATTCCAGTGTCTTTTTAAATGGTGAAATGCCTTGAAAGTGACGACTGTGTACCCCAACTGAAAGCCACTTTCTAGACACATAATTTATTTCCAGTTTTTCCTCTCCTTTGAGACTCCAGTCAGCCTTCCTACCTTTTTCCATTTTCTTCTTTATTTTCCACAGCTCAAACACTTTATTTTATTCCTCTGCCTTTAAGTGCCTGAGAGATATTTCCTGTATTTTATGATCAAAAGGAAATGGACATAACTAAGAAAATATAAATAAAACTTTATCTTCCCATAATCTCTTCAAAACATGATCTTAAGGGGGCGCCTGGGTGGCTCAGGTCATGATCTCACAGTTCGTGGGTTTGAGCCCCACATCCGGCTCTGTGCTGACAGCTAGCTCAGAGCCTGGAGCCTGTCTTCGGATTCTGTGTTTCCCCCTCTCTCTGATCCTCCCCTGCTCGCGCTCTCTTCCCGACTCTCAAAAATTTAAAAAACAATTAAAAAAAAACATAATCTTAAGGAAAATCTTGTGATATGCAAGGAAAAAGGGATTTAAGTATTATCCACATATGAGTTTACTTGAAGCAATTGTCTCTTGACGACATAACTAGAACTAAATCTACTAAAAGAAAAATTACATTTCATAGCCTATTTCTTCATGTTTGTGATACATGCATGATTAATTCTGCTTCTTTCGGTAAAACTGAATCTAAGAAATGCTGCTTTTCCTAAGATTTACTCAAGTTAGTATTTAGTAATGCAAATCTTTTTAAGGCTACTTAAAGCAAACTATTTCAGGAAAGAAATATTCCAAACACATTAAAAATAATTACAATTACAGATGAGCATAAGGGAAGGGAAGCAAAAATAAGATAAAAACAGAGAGAGACAAACCATAAAGAGACTCTTAAATACACAGAGAACTGAGGGTTGCAGGGTGGGTGATTGATGGGGGGATGGGCTAAATGGGTGATGGGCATTAAGGAGGACACATGTTTCAATGGGCACTGGGTGTTATGTCTAGGTGAGTAATCACTAAATTATATTCCTGAAATCATTACACTAGACGTTAACTAACTACTTGGATTTAAATAAATAAATAAACTAATTCTGATTAAATAATGAGGGGAACTATTGAAGTCATTTGGGAAATGACTTTTAACCAATTTTTCCATTTTGACATACCTGAAAACAAAGCTTCGTAACATGAATTTATGCAATGTGCTTGATAAACTCAGAATATGTTCACCACTAAGTGATATGAAAAACTTTTAAGATTAACCTCAAATAAGTTCTTCCCATACTTCGAAAAATATTACTCTCACTGGACAAGTCTAAAATGAAACCTTTTTAAAATACACCAGATGCCACCTAATGCAATTTTCTGGATCATACACAGTATCTTCCTACCTCTACCATAACAGACTCTAACAGGATGAGCGTAGTTCATATTATGAACTGAACCAGAAAGCAAACTATTTGTTATAAGAATTATTAGCATTTAATAGGAATTAGCACTATTATCAATTAAAATTTGAATCCAGATAAGAAAAAATCTCTTAGTGATTTAAAAAAATTTAAAAACACCCCAAGTTCCTAGGTAACAAAAAAGAAAGGCAATAATATAGAATCCAAGTATGGTATTAACAACTATTCAAAAATGGATATTTTTCTCAGTTTCAAGATAGACTGGAGAGAACAAATGAATAGTCTATAGGCTCCTTCCAGTTCTCATCCAACATCTGTTCACAGCAGCTACAGCCAAGTTATCTGCAGCCATGCAGTTTTCAGGATGGGAATAAACATGTCTTTGCTGTCCTGAGAACAATCACCCAATTGCAACTACAATAAGAAGTTTGTTAGACAACACCTGAAAGGATATGTAGTTTAAGCCCTCTGTATTTAAATACAAGGAGAATGTGGCTCAGAGAGATTAAATGCCCTAGTTATAGAACACATATCTTTAAATACCTGCAAGATCTAGTAACAACTTTTCCCAATTATTAGACTATATTAGAGTTATATGGGTTAACTCTAAGGACCTGAACCACTGATTCTCCTTCTGAGATGGAATGGGCCTTTGGAAATTTACCATCTGTATGATATTGAGCACACGGCAACCTTTCTAAGGCCCCGTTTCCTCTTCTGTAAAGGGTAGAGAATACCTACTCTAACGAGGTTGTTGTGAGAATTACACACGACCTGTAGAGTGATTAGCACATCGATTAGCAAATAATAAGCATTCAAAACCATGTAGCTATAATTTTTACTCCGGCCCTGGAAACATGGCTGTTCCTACTGTTTAAGAAAAAAGCAAACTCCATTCATTAACACAACGGACAGGTTTTCATCCACCAGAGCTTCTCTGTCCTACCACATTCTGCAAACAGAAGAAAACCCCACTCAACCTATTTCACCTCATTTCAAATCCACCCTTTACACTGCTAAAAACAAAATACCAACTGCTGCCAAATTTCTTCTGCCAGAAGTTGTACGTTGAATTTGTCAGCTAGATATTGCAGGGGATTTTCTGGCTCCACCCAAAACATGGAGAATAAATAATGGGGAAACAAGGGGAAGATAAGGTCACACACCTGAAATGGAATTCATAGAAGCTTTTTCTCAGCTCATTTAGTTGTGAGTGGATACGTGGGTGTCAGAAAGCAAAACGCTATCTTTCAGCATCATGAAGCAAGTATAATGGCTACCTCAACAAAATACAATTCCCTAGGCTTCTGAACACAATAGAAAAGAATACGTTTCCTTGCCGTAGTAAATTATGCGCACACGGACAACAACTGAGCATCCTTCTCGAAAAACTGAAGGCTAAGGTGTATCCGAGCTGCAATATACCCTAGGACTACATAAATATATGTCTCGCCTTCCTACTAAAGGGCGAGACAAAATTATGGGGAATAATCACCTTGAAATCAACAAGGTGGGAATTATGTTATGCCAAAAGTCGTCTCCATTGATAAAGTCCCGACCCTCCATTCTCCTGACACGGCAAAACCCACCTCCCTCTAAGAAAATTACAGGAAGCACCCGCAACAACCAACCTCAGCAATTGACATCGACCAGATCGACCCCTACTCAAATGGCGCTAAATATCGTGGGTCCAAGGCGCTCCCTGGAGCAGCCAACTCGCGTGCTGACTCCACACTACCTCACTTCCTTCCAGTCCTCCCTGCTATGCTCAACCCCCGGCATTTCTCGTCAACCTTCGCGACTGACAGAAAAGGTAGGAACGATATAGACTTCCTACACATTTTTCGGGGAGTACCAGAGCCACACATACCCGTCCCTATTATGATCACATCAAACTCCGAAGGGAGATTATCCGCCATCTTGAAAGGAAACGTGTCATGTGACAATCGCGTCTGGAAATGAGATCAAGTCAGGCATTGCCCGGGTAGAAGGCGGAAGAGAAAACAGTGCATCCTGGATATTGTAGTTCTTGGGTGGCCGGTCCAGGTACAGCATTTTATTTGAAATATTTACGCAAATGTTAAAAGCTCAATTTATTTTCCAGGCTGAGTGCAGTGGCGCTTTTAGCCTAGAGGTTTGCGGTAGTAATGAGATGGAGATTTTCACTCTGCTAGCTAGAATAATTGTGGGAAAACCTGGGTGTCCCTTGACGATGAAGCAAGAAGTGGGATCTATGAAGGGTGGAGTGAAATTGAAAGGGGATTGCTCTATGAACAAAGGAAATTTTCATTCTACTCTTGAAACTGTTTGCCCCAGCGTGTCTGTACTTTCGTTTTGGCCCCTGAGGCATAATTTTTCGCAACAACACTTTAAAACTATATCCCATATCTTTTTTTTGTCTCCATGTCTCCCCAGTGAAAATCTACGAAAACCGTCTCGCCCCAGTTTCGCCAGAATGGAACCTAAATTGCGTCTGCATTTGTTCGAGTTAGTCCAAACAGCCACCCGGCAGTATATATTTAAAAAATTAGCCTTGCTTTACAGGAGCGAAAAAAGATATGAAAGCATAGTAGTTGCTTGATAAGCGTCTAATGATTCTGAATCTAGTTTTTTTTATACGTATGCAAGGAGTCCATACAAGATTCTTATGATAAGCTGCTGCAGAAATGATCAAGGTAAAATGGCCTTTAGAGTAAAGCGCTTGTATTTGATGAGGGGCATTAGGATTTATTGTGTAGTTATTTTACAAGAACTTCAAAATAATTCAAAGAAGAGTGCAGTACTGGACCTTCCCTTACACAACCTGTCTTCTAAATTGTTTGTGGTTTCCCAGTCACACTGCTGTTCTTCCAGCATGGGATGATCTTCCCATTCTCTAGCTAACATATCCTTAAGATTCATCTCAGCTTCTACCACCTCCTCCTTTTATGTCCTCCCTATATTGGGTTAAATTTCCATAGGTAATGCTAACATTCTGTCATAGCCTTCCATATTGCCCTGAAACTATTTGCATTTATGTTGGTTTCTATACAGTACACATATTTCCACATGTACAAAAATAGACACCCAGATATATCATGCCTAAATTATAAGACCCTCTATGACAAAGACTGTGCCTTATTTATCTTTTTACCTACTGCATCTAACATGAGCCTGTTGCTTGGTAGGAATGCCAAAAAGTGTTTGCTGAACTGAAGTCAGTTCTGACTCCCTTAATAGATGGTAAGTACTGTGAATACAGGGACTGACTCTTCACCTTTATATCGACCCACAACTATCATGTGTCATATTTTGAAGATGCTCAATAACTTTTTCTTTGCTAATCTTCCATGAAAATTCTTTAAAACTGTATTTTCCTGGGGTTGAGTTTTGTTTTGTTTTATTTTGCTGCATTTTGCCATTATCTTTAGCAATGTTGCACGTTTTATTAATTTATTTTATGGGTTATCTGGATGTATTGAACAATTCTTTTGTGATATGATCCTCTGATGAATGTTTTGTGTAAGAGATTTCTTTGAGAAGTGTAATGTATTGTTCAGTAAATCACTGTGCCATTTGCCTTGATATGAAAAGAAAGCTTTGAGTACTATCAGAAATGAAATAGACCTTATTTGTTAGATCTGTGAGACTCTTAATACCACCAGTGGAAATGAAAATTAATAGATTTCCCAGAGTAAACACAGGAAACTTTCCAAAATCTCCTGTAACAGTAAGAAGCTATGGATGGGTGGTTAGAAACATGAGAAATTAAGGTAAACTAACTTACTTTGGTAATTATGTGTACACATGTGTATATATCTTTTTCAATATGAGTATATCTAACTTTCTTTTTTTGTTTAATGTTTTATTTATTTCTGAGAGAGAGAGAGAGTGAGAGACAGCGTGAACAGGGGAGGGTCAGAGAGAGAGGGAGACACAGAATCCGAAACAGGCTCCAGGCTCTGAGCTGGAAGCACAGGGCCCGACATGGGGCTCGGACCCACGAACCGTGAGATCATGACCTGAGCCGAAGTCGAACGCTTAACCAACTGAGCCACCCGGGCGTCCCAAGAATATCTAACTTTCTATGGATTCAGAAATTTTCTAACAATTAGGCATACTGTGAAGACACCACTTACCATTTCATTCAATTTTCCTTAAATATTTGTTGAATACTATGTGCAAAGCACTGACTTAGATGCTGGAATTACAGCAATGAATAAAACAGACAAAAACCCCTGACTTCATAAAGTTTACATCTAATGGGGTATAAAACAAAATAAACAAGTAATTACTCTGTCATGCTAATATTCAAATATGTTTTGCCTCAAATATGAAATCCCTTTTATTCTGAAGCTAGAAAACAGGACCCTCCGAAAGATAAAATTGCTGGCCTATATTTAGCTGTCCTTTCTCTATCACACACTCTCTGAACATAGAAAAAATTATTACATTAGAAAAAAAATTAAAGCCTCTGCGTGGAGAGAGGTTCAAAATACCTTTTCTTTCAAATGTATTTTTATAGATCTTCTGCAAAGTAAAGACTAATATAGGAGTTGATAATGGCAATAAAATAACATGAAGCAAAGCAGCTCAATTGCTATCCTGTTATTCTAAGGACATCTATTTTTGAGAACTGAAATATTTTTTTTGGATAATCACAGTACACTGAGATGATGGATACATATAGACTTACACTATTAAATCACTATCATCTTAATTTTGTACTTAATAGTTTTCTGAGTTGAAAAACCATGATTCCCTGAACATTTACGTTGTATTCAGAAGCTTACTTAACTGTGCAATCTGATATATCAAATGTTTATAAACTGGTAATTTAATGGTCTCTATCCCTGGCCTTTCCTTTGACCTCCAGTTCCACATATCCAACCTCTTACTCAGCATCTCTACTGAACGTGTCCAATACTGAACTCCTGAACATTTCAGTTAAACTCCAAAATCTCTTCATCCAGTGTTCCCTACCTCAGAAATAGTACCACCTTCTAGTCAGTTACTCAAGTCAAAAACTTAAGAATCATCCTTGATATAGCATTCTCTTCCACTCTTAAACCAACTCATCATCAATTCTTGCCATATCTATTTCAAAATTCTACTGTAAATATACCCACCACTCAATCTGGACTGCCCCCATAATATCTTGCCTAGACTACCTACAGTAGGTCCCAGCTGGGTCCTTCATATATGCTTACTTCTCTCCAGTCCACTGTAGAGTAGAATAAACTTAAAAATTCAAATCTAGGGGCACCTGGATGGCTTAGGCATTTAAGCGGCTGAATCTTGATTTCTTTCAGCTCAGGTCATGATCTCACAGTTTGTGAGGTCACGCCCCGCACTGGACTCCACACTGTCAGCACAGACTGGGATTCTCTGTCTCCCTCCCTCTCTGTCCCTCTGCCCCTACCCTGCTCACACTCTCTCTGTCTCTCGAAATAAATAAACTTTAAAAAATGTAAAAGCTTTTTTTAAAAAATTCCAATCTAGGGGCACCTGGGTGGCTTAGTTGGTGGAACATGTGGCTTTTGGACTCAGAGTTGTGAATCCAAGCCCCATATTGGGCATAGAGATTACTTAAAAATTAGATCTTAAAAAAAAAAAAAATCTAATCTAATTATGTCCTCTCCTGCCTAAAATCCACATGATCTCCATCTCCCATAGAGTAAATCTCCCATTACTCCATTTAAAGAGTAATCTCCCATTACTCTTTAAAATATACTCCAAAACTTTAAGCATGGTCTAAAGTCCCTGCTGAACTCTCTGGGGTCTTCTCATACCTCTCACCCTTCTCTCTCTAAGCTCCATCCATATTGTCTCTCCATTTTGTCTGAAACACCATGCTCCTTCCTGCTTCAAAGCCTTCATTCATGTTTTTCCATATGCCTGAAGTATACTTTTGTCCTTCTTCTCCCTTTCTCATAGCTTAATCCTACTCATTTTGCAGTTCGTTCAGAAGATCACTTTCTCTGGCAAGTCTTCATCTAATCCTCAATCTACCATAAGTCTCCTATCATCCTATACTCTTCCTTTGTTTAACTTTTCATGATTGGAATATCAAATTACTTATGCAATTTATTTAATATCTGTGATCCTCCTAGGAGGTGAGTTACACAAAGGCAAGGGCCATGCCTGTATTGTTCACCATTATATTTCTAGCACATCATTCACTGCCTAGCATATAGTTGGCACTGAAAAATATCTGCTGAAATCCCACTTCTGGGTATATATCCAAAGCAAATAAAATCACTATCTCAAAGAGATATCTGCACTCCTATGTTCATTCCAACATTACTCACAGTAGTCAAGATATAGAAACAACTTCATTGTTCATCAACAGATGAATGTATATATACACATAGGTACATATATATTTACATATATGTAAAGGATTATTAATCATCCCTTAAAAAGACAAATTCTGCCACCTGTATTTTTTCACTTAATATATTTAGGAGATACTGTGTTCTCAGAACCTATAGGGACACCTCATTTTTAATGCTTTCTTATAATTCCATTATATGATTATGCATGATTTACTTAATATTCTTCTATAGATGGATATTTAGTTTTTTTGCTACTACAAATGATACTGCAATGAATATATTTTTCTTAGAGAGAAAGTATAGAATAATGGTTATGAGTTCAGACTTTTGGCCAGACTTCCTAGGTTGGAGTACCAATTTTATCACCTACCAACTGAATGACCTCAGATAAGTTACTTAACCTCTCTGAACTTCAGTTTCCTCATATGTAAAATGGCAACAATAATATTACTTACCCTCCATGGGGGTTATAAGGGGTAAATAAAGTACTTAACACTATATTTGACTGGTGGTTAGCACTCAATAAACAGTAGTGGTAGTAGTAGTAGTAACAGTAGCAGTAGCAGTTATTGTGAGCCTCTGGGAGATACCGACTTTCACCAATCAGAC